TCCGTGTACCCTGTAAAAATTTTAGGAGGATAATGCGTTATCCTTGGAGATTCTCGATACTCGAATCTAGGATAATATTATTTGACAGGAATGATCAGGTTAAAAGTCGATCAATAGAGAAATAAAATATTAAAATTTAGAATAATATTTTTCAAACAAGAACAAGTAGTTATCTAAGCCAATTAATAAAAGATATATCATCGTGGAAGAAAGCAGCGACAGAATAATTTTGGGGAGGAATGATAATAGGAGGAGGAATCGATTTTAATTGTCAATGAAATGTACGTGCATGGAGCGACGAGAAAAAGGAGAGGAAAAAAAAGGAAAAGCCTACGAAAGTTGGCAAGATGGGAAGAATAAAAAATGAAAGTTTGAAACGAGAGCATTAATTGAAAAGGTCGTGGTGCATCCGTCTCATCGGTGATACGCTTTTCAACCACGGTTTTTCAACGCGCCGCTTCATAGATCGATTCATCCTTAAGATTTGAAAGAGTTTTCAAACGCAGCTGGCTTCGTCTTTGTATCGAGACGATACACGGACGGTGGTTATGTAGAGAAGAACTATCCATGGAAGGGAATAAATGCGAGGGGTCACGTTCAATGTATTACGTTGTGTGTATCCCCGCGTTTGTCGGGGCTAATTTTCCATTAACTTTTCCATTAGATCTAGTACTTCCTTTTGCATGATTAATACGGCGATAAAACGACGAGAAATATAAATATAAAGGTATTCGTATAATGCTTTTCCAAACAATCTCTCTCTCTCTCTCTCGAAATAAATATTATCGATATTAATAGTCATCATGCGAGTTCTTCAAGCAAAATGGAACTCGAAGGAAAAAAAAAAAAAACTTCAAACAGAATAAAAAGGAGAATATAAATGATTATATTATATCATTCGTGTTAATCCTTTCCGTTTTATGAAGTAACAAACAAATACGCTTTGCGTATACAATACCTGCTAGCTGGCTGTATTATTTATTTCTGTATTTAATCAATAGTCTAGATCTTTTTAATATCCGTCACGATACACGTTGGCTTCATACGTGCTTATGGATTATACACCTACTGTATATTCATGTACAGTTTCTTTCGTTATTTCGCTCAATCGTGGATAGAAATATATTTCTGAATTTCAAAAGGAGGATTCAACGGTTTGAATTTTTCGCACGCGCTGTTTCATTTCTTCAGCTTGACTCGTCGCGGGTATCGATTTATCGGATACGATCCATCAGACCGGAAGATATTTTTCCAAGTTTCCAAGCTTGCCGGGGGTTAGAATACGGTAAATAACAGAAGCGTCAAATCGAATTCAAGCGAGGAGGATGGCGAGGAAACAGAGAAGGACGGAATCGTCGAGTTAGAAATTAATCCCCGATTCTCTTCCAACCAATCGAAATTTTAAAGTACTCTTTGGTCCAATTCAACGGCACTTTAGTTTGACTTCCAGTGATCTCTGATTGATTTCGCGTTGAACGTCTTATCGTCAGTCGTGGAAAATATGAGAGAACGTTTCTTTTTTATAAATTACAAATTCTATCGGGAATGTATACTATATTATCTTACCAGAGTTGATTTAAAAATAATTTTCAAATTTTTGAAAATATTAGAGATCAAAGATTCGTAATTTAAAATTGATATTGATATATTAATAATTAAATTAAATTTCAAACTTGCAATTAGAAAACTTTTAACGTCAAACATTTCTCCAAAATACTCGAAAAAGACAGAATTTTAATTTAAAGTTGATCCGACGATAGCCTCGAGGAAATCGGTGCGCGGACCATGACTCAAACGATGGCGGAATACAAACGACGATCGTGACACGTGGACGAATTCACGCGAAAGAATCTGTGCAAGTAATCTCTGACTCGGCGAAATCCAACTGGAAGAATCCCCCTAATGCATTAAAGATAGAGGGGCTCGTTGTCGTGACGAGGATCAAGTTCGCCAAGCCTCCCTTATTATCTTTCTTATTTAGGTCAACGAAGTTCTCCCACTTGGCGTGGACAGTGCATCGTCGTCGCCGAGATGCATCATTCTTCTTTCGTTCAATTTCGTACAAGCTTTCCACGGGGAAACAGGGATCGATATTTTTATTTCCAGATTTAAGTCTCCCCCTTCCTTTCGTTCAAACGTCACCAATCTCGCGGTCGAATAAGCGAGAGTTTTTGTCCTCGACGCTATTTTTCTTTCGTTCATTTTTTTTTTTTTCTTTTCTCTCGTGTAATCCCCGCCATTTGTAACCCCATCGTTCGTTAAATCGTGGGTCACCGACAGCTAGAACGATCGTGTAATAAAATCCTGCCGATCAATTGTCAATAGATCCTTTCTGAAAAGCTTCGATTGGAAAAAATGAAGTATCGTTTCAAGGGGTTTCGATTGGCAAAGTGTGCGCTTTAATCACTTCTGGTTCGATAGACTGATTAAATTACTTGGATATTTTATTTAAATACTACGGGTTACGTCTCATTTATTTTCGTTAATTGAGTTTAAAATTTTCGAGATTATCTTCAACGTGTTACGTCGAATGATCCGTATCGTATACGCATTCAAATAAATCTGTATAATCGTGAAACGTTTCGTTTAAAAATTTAATCCCGGATCAGACACGGTATCCGTAAGATTATCTTCGATTAAATATTTGCCGTGTTCGACGAACCGCAAGAAATGAAGGAGTGGTTTGCCAGACTACTAGCGCCGCCATATGGATTATCTCTTGGTTACGATTCCTCCAAAATCTGTCAATTCGCGTAAGCTTCGTTCGAAGAAGATTTATGTCTTTCCAACTGTGGCTTTATTCCATAATTGATGCATGCACAATTTCCTCTTGCCAACCGCTTCGAATTTAGGAATTTGTTGACCATCTGGATGGCCCAGAAAAATCGGTTTATTTTTACTCAACCGGGTCGATGGGCGCACGTCACTCTTTCACAATTGTGTGTACACCAACGAATTTTTATAACCGGTGGTCACGCGAATATACGACGCCATTTCCACGAGGGAAATATTTTTCACGAGGAAAATCGTCTTGCGCGACAATACGAGCTTGGAAATAACTATTCGTCGGTTATTACTCGATCGATCGCAGAGAGAAATTGCAGCCTGGTTGCCATAATCTTCGTGAATCAAGCGAATGAAAGGCACAGAGAAAAAGAGAGAGAGAGAGAGAGAGAAGTTTCAGAACAACGCGATACTTGGTGATCCATTTCTCTCCCCTTTGTCAAGGTAAAGTCTGGAAACTAGCTATATTCAATTAACTAGCTATCTTTTTATCCTTTAGGATACTCACGAGAAGGGTAACGATAATTAGAAAAAAAAGGGTTGGTCGGTGTTAAATTATTCCTCTTCAAGCGTGCTCATAGATGTTTTATTCAAGAGAATGATGGCAATTTTTCTTAGCCCTGACTTAGCCCAACTTTGAGGGCTGTTATCACCCTTTTAACGACTGTCTATGAAAAATGGAGATCCATATTTTTATCCGTCCCTTGTAAGATAACAATCTTTGAATGAATAATTCATAAAGAATTTAATACTACATTTATACACAAATAAATTAAAAATATATATATATATTTATATAGATACGTATTTTTTTTATCTCACGTAGAATTACAGAGAGGTTAAAAGCCTCAGGATTATCCGAGGCGATATCAAGAGTTCTTTGATCCAACCACGAGCACGATACAGCGATAAAAGTTAATTTGATCGTCGGTTACTAAAACGACACCGATTTTCTTAAGTCTTAACCCCGTAATACCACATCCCTCGTGCCAGCATCGGGTTCATCGGGTCCGGAGATCGCGAAGATCTTCGTTGACCCAAATACTAGGCGCGATAATAAGACGACCAGTCCGATGGAGCTTTACCTCCTCCATCGTGGAACTAGTTTTAATCCTTCTGCTTTCCCCTGTATCCCAACTCGTCCATTTTTCTTCGGTCTTTCGTTTCATTGTAACCTCCACGTCGTCCTCGTTTTCGAAATCGCTTATTCGTTCTTTCCTTTCTATTCTTCTCCTTCTTCTTCTTTTATAATTTTATATTTAAGACAAACAGCGAAGGGAATTTCGTTCGACCGTAATTCGAAATAAGTAGCATTTATTCTATATAAATACGAGGAAGCTAGTAAACTCGATTTCTCCGAAGAAACGCTCCCCATAAAATCAGGATCAGCGTTTCCTATTGGAAATCTAATAAACGGTGGAAGGTCGCATGAAGCCGGTTTTGATTGACGCTAGTTTCGCACGCGATTGTTCCACGGATAAGATCTCCGCATTTCCTATGAAACTCATAGCGCGCGATTATTATATTTAAGCATGTACGTTCCATCATCGTCAGTTTTCTCGAATATTACCAGATTTGCTTTAAATCTTGGAAATAATTGTTACGATATGTAAATCATCATCGGCCTTAATTCCACTCCATTAATAAAATCTTGGTAACTTTTATCAAGTATCGAGATAGTCCTAAATATCCGAAGAATAATGATTAGAAAACTCTCTCTTGTAATTCTCTTTTAATCAAATATCAAAGAAATATTCTCAATCTTTTTTTTCAAATATTATCTCACCATTATCTTATCAAGGAGATTTTCAAATTTGAAAAAATAACTACATCACGTATATTCTAAAATTCTCACTACAATTCTAATCTACTATTCGTTTCCCTCTTCCAAATTTCCATGAATAATATCTAACATAGAACCCAACATGAATCCAGCATCTCGAGCTACCTCATCACTGCGATCTTATCCTCTTATTATCATCGTCGAAAATCGGCGATAAGAACGATCTAATTAACCGAGAAGTGAACATAACCCGAGTCTGACCCTCTTCGCTCCGTGAAAATAACTCTCTCTCTCTCTCTCTCTCTATCTCACCGACGTATCCCATCGATGACACTGTTAATTGCACTCTCTGTCCCCGTTTGCCTCCGGTGAAACACATTAGTCCTTACCGCCGCGACAGATGCTCTCTAACGGTGAATTAATGGTATTGCAGAGATTGGTCGCCGAGCTGAACAGAGAACAGGAGGCTTTCATTGCGAACAAGCACACCGAAAAGGGTGAGGCCGTCGCACCGTGGGTCGGCGCGCCTAACGAGGACATACTCCGCGAGGAATGCTTATCTCTCTCCATGGTGAGTAATTCCTCCTTTCTATTCGTGGAACACGCAGAACAGAAGAGGGAGAGAACGACGAGGATCGTCGTCGTCGTCGTCGTCGTCGTCGTCGTTGGGCTAGAGAGTGCTTCGCGCAATTGGATTCTCACGTTGGACGCACAATGGCCTTTTCATCGTCACGCGTTTCCAGCGAATATTATCTCGCGTGTGTTTCGTGAAAACGTTCGCGACAAGTGTATCAAATCTCTCAGAGATTTTATTTAACCGAGGATCAAATTCGATATTGGATATTACACGATATGGGCTTTGATTTGAACGCTGTTGTAAATAGATAATTAGATTAATTTATAAATTAACTTGTTACTTGTCGAAGATTTTATATTCGCTTTAGTTCTGATATATGTATGTATATAGATAAATATGAGTGTTTAAGATTTTTGTGAATTAATTATATGATGTGAATGATATATTACGGACAAGTTCTCGAAGTGATCGTGAATAAAATTTTGATTCGTGATTCCATTGGATAAATATAATTTTTCGGATATCTTTCTGAATTAAATATTGCTTGTAATAGCTGGATCAATTTTATTAATTTTCTTGATAAATATTACTTTTATTAAAATTAATCAATTTTAATAAATGATATTTCCAAGATATTTCTTATCGCGATATACATATATATATCGTAACAAGCAAGCACGATCAATGTCAAGATAAGATATAAATTGTTCTTTGTTAATTAGAGTTGAAGAGATCGTATCGCGATTAGGAACGGTGGTTGAAGACCACAATTGGATTTCTTCCGGCCAATAAAGTATTTCATTAAGAATCGAATCGATCGTCTTTTAATTGCGGCTTCTTAAAACAAACGGTGTTTCGTTAAAGATATATCCCGACCGTGATTAACGATCAACGATTTTCAATTTCACGAAATTTTAATTTTAATTTTGAAACACGTGCAAAAGAATTTGGAAAAATTGATTTCAGGATCAACGCAATTTCTTAAAATCCCCGCCAAAGGAAGTCGATTTCCCATGGGACTTTGAGGCCGTACAACCGATGGCGCAAGCAACTCTCGCCTTGGATCCGAATTTGGAGAACATGAGGTTCCAACTGGTGCCGAAAGTGTAAGTAGTTTCGTTCAATTGTCGTTTAATAATCCTCAGCTGTTTTGGAAATTGCAATTAAAATCGCTCGTTCTTAAACTTTAAACTTGGGGAAAATTCATTATTTTTAGTAATTAGATTTAAAAAAAAAATCTTCTTATCTTCAGACTTAATTACAATCTCTCGAATTCAAATTACGATTACATTTTATCCTAACGCTTTCAAAAATCTTTACAAAATCTAGAATTTCCTTCCAATTCTGAAGATAATCAAATTTCCAAAAACTCATATCCGCAATAATAACTATTTCACTACAAGATTAATTTCCATTAAAATTATTAATTAAAAACAAACCATTTTCTTCCAAACATTCCCTTCAATAGCCACGTTTATCACACGCAATAATCGTCAATCATCTCAAGATCGAAGATCGATGCGTAATGCACTCGAATCAATTATTTAACCACGATTTAAGTTAAATGAATCCGCGATGGGTGGGATTAATTGGCAAAATTTCGAAAGCGGGATCCGATTAGAGGGAATCGGAAGCCAACTACTGTGCTTGCAATCTATCTATGGTTATTAATCCGCGACATCGTGTTGCACAGAATATCAGAGGAGAATTTCTGGCGGAACTACTTTTACCGGGTGTCGGTACTCCGCCAGAGCCACGAGCTGAACACAATGGCCAACCAGGCGGAAAACAACCTAAATCAAACATCCGCAGGAACTGTGGATCAAGCTGAAGGTAATTCTGAAACCTCTGAGCAAACAATTTTTCCCGCTTTTTATTATATCGTTTTCTTTTCTCTTCTAATTTTTTAATCAATCATCATCACTATTAATTATTCGTTCGATTGCGATAAAATGGATATAGTTGTTGGATTATCCTCCTCGTTCGACCTTTTCTTTCCATTCACAAAAGTGTTTCTTTTCCAACTTTGAAACGTCTTCGTTGCCCGTCGAAGGAAAGTTTCATCAAGTTTCATCAAATGAACGCATCCAGTAGTTGTTTCTTTCTTTCTTTTTCTTTTTTTTTTTTTTAATGTATTCTCGTTTCTCCCCCCCCTTTCAATGGGTTTTTCGTTG